GTGATATTGTGATGATCACTGAGTTAACTCTTCTTAAATCTTTCCAAATATATTACATTTCTACTAATTACTTATAAATCTATAAGTAAATCTTCTGCTCTCAACCTATACCTAGCACGTACTAAAGAAATATAACCCTTCTACAATCTGTTAATGAAGGAGAAATTGGTATTTGCTTTTTTTTTAGCTTAAAAAACATAGTTCTGGAATTCAATCCTTGAGCATTATTAAGATTTTGATATTTAATGAAAAGAACATCATGCCTATCAGTATTTCTCTTAATCCCATTCTTCAGATTATCGTATATATCATCAAATTTTCATAAATTATGAAAAAAAGTATCATGTACAAAGTATATAATACTATGACAAATATCTTTTGTAAGTGGAAAATTACCGTGCAGTAGAAGACATGAGGAAAATGCTACAACTTGTTTAGACTGAAGCAGTACAATGATCTGAAGTTGAAAAAAACATAATTCTCCTCCCTCAAATTCTCTGAGAGTGACCAAACAGCATAAACTATTTAGTTTATCGTGTTTATCTCAATAGTAATTGCTAGTTGTATTGTAATTAATAGTAATCATTAGGAAGATTCCAAAGGGTCAAGATGCAAAGGGTTCCTCACCAACTTCTCTAATTTTTCATATAGATTTCCATAGAATTCTTGTACAAATTCATTAACAAAGGTTAATAATGAGCCAAGTTTGTGAAATAAAGTGTCAACATATTCTTGATGTGTGACATTATAGAAACTTGCAGTATTCAAACTAGTGAATGAGAGGAGGTTATTTCATGTATATGTACCAAAATGTTCTATGAAATTCTTCCAGAATTTATCGCTACGGTGGGAAGGGTTATTTAAGGTATGAAAATAATAATAGTTTACAGCATCTATTGCTTGTATAACTGCCTTTGGATCATTAAGTAATGCCAGATGTATTAAAGTTTGGCTATCTATATCAGTAACATATTCTGGTTTTATAATGTACTGAAACTGCACTAACCCTTTTAGTGATCGAAGATTACCTTGTGTAGAAATTATCATTTAGGTCTT